AAGTACTCTACCTATCTCTAATCACGTAATATAATCATTGGTTCTGCAGATAAATCTTACAATTTCTCCGCTGTCTTGCAGATAGCAATTCTGCAATTGGGTGTTGCAATAATAGTATTCTTCCACATTTTGTCATAAAATTCTGAAATATAGGGAAAAAAATCTTTAAAATTGCCTTTATATTCCATTTTTTTATGATTAAAATAGATTTATTATCAAAATGTTAGCTCCATCCATAATAAGTTTTAAAGCGCACATATAATAGCTTTTTCATGAAACTAATAAAGAATTGTTTGAAATAGTTTCAACGATTAGGCGAAAACTATTTGCTCTTAGTTCATTAAAATTCCCATAACAGGACGTCAAAATCGTAAATGATAAAGTAGTTTTTACTGTTCAATTTTATTGAAAAAGAATCGAATAGAAAGGGCATAATTTTTTTCGTTAATGATCAAAAACAAAGGGAAGTGTGATAAAAAAAAATCAATATTTCCATTCCTCTGGGATTCATCGATTTTTTTTGTAACGAAGTGTGAAAATCCCATTACTTCAATACCAATTACTTCATAAATTTTTCCTGTCATCATTAACGGGCATAAAATGGTAATATGGAAACCTCATTTTCTCAAGATACAGAAACCGTTCGGTGAAACGATGAACTATTATCCGTATTAATTATGCAGCACTTTATACGCTTCATCATTGTGATAGGAATACTAGAATGTGTATTATTCTCTAGGGTAAGCTGCCTGCACGTATGGTATCAACATTAAGAAAATCATTTGTATCAAGAAATAAGATGGTTAGAAATATTTTCCGCCTAGATATTATAATGCTAATCAATTCTCAGTGAGGAATAAAATTAACTCAGCTCGTAAATTGTACTCTTGAAATTGAAAAATGCAATCAAGTTCATCCATGTGTAAGTGATACTTTAAGCTTAATTTGTAATACATAGATTAATTTGTAGAGCATGAACTACGTATCAAAATTTGATTAAAAATAAAATCCAATTAGCATAAGCGGTGTTTAATAAATTTCGCAACATGTGCTCTGAGTAAATGTAAAATATCGGTATTTATTAGAAAACTAGTGGATAATTAAGAAAATACTAACTCTGTTCTATTATAGAAGGCTTATAATAGTAATAAAATAGATGAAAGTTTAAAATAGATGAAATAGGCTAATATTCGAAATAGGTGAAAGATGAATAGATGAAAGTTTTAAAATAAAAATGCTTGCCTAAAATATTTAATAATTTAACTGTAATTTTGCAAAATGAATCACATTATTTAGACAATATTATAAGAAAATAAATTTTAATTGAAAAAATCAAAACTTATTATCAAATTTTAGTATAGCATGCTTTTAAAATCCAACCATACAAGAATGATAAGATTTTTTAACACTTCAACTTTGTGATAGGAATGCCAGACTATGTTTTATTATCAAAGGCAAGCTACCTGCACGTATGACATCAATATTAAGAAAATCATTTGCATCAAGAAATATGGTGGTTAAAAATATTTTCCACAGAGATATTAAACGGTTAATCCCCCCCCCCAGTTAATATATTGTTAATGAATTCTCAGTTCGGAAGAAAATTAAATCAACTCATAAATTCTGTTTTTTAATTTAAAAAATGCAATAAAGTTCATTCCTATGTAATAAAATACTAAAGTTTAATTTGTAATACACGGAACTATTTGCGGAATGAATTACATGAATTACATATTAAAATGTGATTGAAAATAGAATTCCATTAGCTTTATGGAATAAAATCTCTGTTTAATAAATGTTCAAACGAATGTCACAAATTAAAGTGAAACTGCGGTATAAATTAAGTGGCCTGTGAATAGTTTAGAAAATAGTTAATTATAGAAGGGTCATAGTTAGTAGTAATAGGTTGGATGAAAGAAATAAACTAAATTTGCTCGAATAATTTAATTGTTATTTATCATAATGAATCACAATATTTAGATAGCATTATAAAAAATAAATTTGTATTTTAAAAAAAATTATTAAATTCTATCTAGCAAAATGTGTTTTTAAAATCAAATTGTGAAAAGATATTAAGGTTTCAGTTTTTGAACAATTAAAGGAAGTGGGAGATAGTATAAGTTTATATAAAAAGTAAAAAGAAGATAGTGACAAGTGACATAGGGTAATGTTTAGTAAAAAAGAAATTCATAGATGCATATATATGCTATGTTTACCAGCAACAAAATGTGAGAAATAAAGTTTCAAATTAATAAAAAGAGGGATTTATATCAAGTTCTCAATCGATGTCAAATCTTTTTTAGTCACCATAGATTCTTGTTTTTCTCCTCTTTAATTTCTGAAAAATTTCATTTTATTTAATCTCTAGTTTACTTAGACATTCAAAATTTCAACACAATAATGATTACATTTCATTCTCAGAATATTGTCGATTTTATTATAAGAATTTCTTAAAGTGTTGTTAGTTTTTTTTCTGCAAGCAAAGCATTCAAAGATGTATGTTGTCAATTAAATAGTAATTCTGTTCAATATTACGAGTTTCAAAATCATTTTAAGTACATTCTAATTTCAAATCATTTATATTTACAGTCGTATAGATCCTGCCTTTTTAGTGATATTGACTTTAAATAATATATTGTCTTTCTCAAAACAAAGATACACGGATTGCGTACGTCTTTTTTTTTTTCTAGAAAGACAAGAGTCAAGCCATTTCCCAGATAGAAATTGTTATTTTTTTCCCTACATTCTATTCTCTTATTGCTTTTTGACTATATATTATACTTTTTCCTGTTTATTCAGTTCATTTTTGAACCAAAAGAGATCAGATATTTAATCAGAATTTTGAAGTAGCAAGATAAATTTGCAATAAAGCAGAATCCTTTTTGATATTCTATGATATTGCAGGATCGTCTGTTTTATTAACCTAATGAATATAATCTACAAAATTTAGTTTATATCTGACAAACGCCTTCCTGAAAAAATGGCAGTACGATTATGTTTATATCAAATGGATATTTCTTCATTTACATACTAATTTAGCTTGAATAAAACTTTTGTTACTTTAGCTCTAAATAGCTGTTTTATTAATATATTTTGATTGCCAGAGCCATCTTTTTTCTGCGCAATAAGTCCCAGTAATGAAATGGTTAAATTATTGATTCATCATAGTTAAATAACTGATTAAATTATAGTTAAATAGTTAGTAGAAAGATAAAATGGTTATAAAGTACAATTCTTTATGCTATTTTATACTATTGAATGACCATCGTTCTTATTAACGTAGTGAATACAATCTAGTATATATCTGACAAAAGCCTACATGAAAAAAGTGACCGTATCTATATATTTATATAGAAGATTGGTTATTTACTTGCTACTTTATGTTTAATAAAACATTTACTTCAGATACTTCAGATCCAAATGTAAATTGTTATTTTAATTATATATAATGGTAGACTCAGCCATCGTGTTTCCGCAGAGTAAGTCCTAATAAGGAAATAGTAGTTTTTCTTTCTTTCCTTGACAGTGTTTTTCTTTTCTTTTCTTAACTGACATTCTTTTTGAAAGTAATTGCTATTTTAGGATTTTGGGATGATGCCCTGGTCAAATGTGTTAGCTTCGCAATCAAAATTTACTGAACAACTGTTCATCTAGTGTTTTCTATATTTAAGTAATAAAATGGAATACTACTTTTCACAAATTTATAAAGATTACTTTCTCAAGTTGGTTAGAATATTTCTGACTGATGTTTAGCACACTTAACACGCAAAAGGTTTATTATATTGTTAAAATTTGCAACTAAAAGCGCCACAGTATTTATCCGTGTCATTACAGACATTACAAATTTTACAGATTTTTAAATTACATTTAAATTCCTCTAAAATTTTTTTTAATGAACCTGAGTAGCTTAATGTGAACCTAGACAAGTGGAAATCAAATTCTCAAAATAGATCTATTTTCTGTACCTATTATAGAAATAACATAAAAATTAAACTTCATAAAATATTTTCCATCCATTTTAAACACGTTTTATGTTTCATCTTTTCCCAAATTAGGTTTAAATTAACAATCATTTCTCATCAATTTTACTCGATTTTCAATGATAAATCACTATTATTTTTTTCTCTTAATATGGTGACCGCTTTTCAATGTTGTCTCCATAACTACAAAATTATCTAAAGATTGTGAACAACTTTTTAATGAATTTGTTATTTTTGTTAACTTTGAATTAATTCAAAAGAAACGGGAGCTTATAAATAAACCATTTTGACTAACTAAAACTACTTTCATGTAGAACATTTTCAGAGCAAAGTGTCCCCAATTCATTACGATGAATGGGCTCTAGACGTAATAAATGATATTTAAGCAGTGCTCCGTCATTTACGTGCAACATTTTTCTTCACTGTTCTAAATTTTTTTTTATCGTTACTGATATCTAAACTGGCGAAATAAATATGGTTTAATCAGTCGTCTGAGGGATTTGAATCAAGGTCACTTCAGGGGGAAAGAAATTATTTTGCTCTTATGCTATCATTAATTATTATATAATGTTTTGTTCCATACTATTGAATACATGCAAATATAATAGACCATTAATATCTTTCAATTTTAAGACAAAAAATATCACCGGTAAATAACAAATTTCATTTAGTCAAGATAATACAGGAAATTGTTTTAAATAGCTTAACAAGATTTCGATTTGAAAATGTAACTGCATCACCCACGGTTTTTTACATCTATAGAAGGGTAAATATTTTGTTTATTTATTTACAATAGACGTGGGGGTATGATTTGAGTTTTTTACTGTTTCTTTTATCTATTTTTTTAAACAGATTTCAGAAATTTATTGCATTGTTTATACTATTTGTTTTACTTGCAACGATTTATTAATGTCTCATTTAAATTTATTTTAAACTTTTCACGAAATTGTAATTATTTCAAGTTATTCCAAAATGCAATCTAGATCCATGACAACTAAATAATGTTTATTTTAATGACAGGTTTATCAACTGATCCATTAAGCAAGGGCCCATCATTTCTGAGCGAGCCTCCAAATAGAGTGGAGTTTTCTAATTCAAGTGGGACTGTCATACCTTGTTTGACAGATGGCAGACCTCGACCCATCGTGACATGGGTCAAGAATGATGGAGAAGTTGTCCACGATTTAACAGGACTTCGCTACATCCAACATGATGGGTCATTAGTTTTCAGACCTTTTGCTGCAGAAGATTACAGACCTGATGTCCATGCCTCGATTTACAGATGCGAAGTGTCCAACAACATAGGAATTATTGGCAGTCGAGATGTGCATGTGAGAGCAGGTAAGAAGTTGAAACTAACATTGCAGTTTATTGAAATAGCATGCAGAGAAAAGTATAAATATGCTAAAAAGATTTATATGTTACCACTCAGAACGAAATTTTTTTTGAACGCGTAATCGATGGCAGAACGGCTTGCGTAAAGTGTCTAAAATCTTTCGTAAATTCACCTTCTTCCCAGAGATCTCAGTAAAAGACCCACATTGAAGTCATGTTTCTGTTTTTTATTGTATAAGAAAAGGTTCTAATAAAATTAAAGTTCGCATAAAATTAACTTCTAGCAGCAGAATGGAACAAAAAAGCAAATCTCTATATGAAACAGCAGATGAATAAATAAGCGGGGGAAAAAGTCAGAGAATTAATAATCAAGAAAAAAAAGTAGCAATAAATGGATGAGTGATTTGATAAAAAAGTGAATAAATGAATGAAGATAATGAAAATTAACCCATTAAGCGCCAAGTCTCCCTTTTTGGGAACCTTTGTTCAAGAATTTTTTTCTCGCTGAGTATTTCACATGCATATTTTTTATATTTTTTTATCGACTGTTGAATGTTTTTAGTTTTATTAGAAATTTTTACAGAAGGTTCGAAATGTAAATTGTTTTTTTAGAAATTGCCCAAATGTAATCAAAATCGCTTTTTTTACTTCAAATGAAAATAATTTCAGAAAAAAATAATTTTTCAAGTCGAAAAATTTAAAAATATTGAATATACAAAACAATTGCTCTGTCATCATATAGTCGCCATCAAAATTTTAAAAAATTGATTTAGACCGATTTTACAGTTGTTTATTTAAAGAGGTCCCAAAATGGGAGACTTGGCATTCTATGACTAACACCATCCGCAACACATTTACATAAAGGCAAATATTTATGGATTTTTTTTCGTCATACTTAGTACCCTCTCTTTTGTTGTTGAAGGTTAAATATTATCAGTGCAGGTGTTGAATTGCGGTGATACCTGATTGCGCTAATGGTTTTCTAAAACATGGTGGACTGCGCTGCTAACATCTTATCCCCCTTTAAGAAAGGTTGGTGGACTGCGCTTAAGGCAACCCTTATGACCATCCATCCTACTTCATTCATGCAGTAAAACAATT